AACTATACTGACCTTGTTGGTGAGTTAGTTCATTCAATGGGTGAAACTGTTCAAAGCATTTCTTGTTACTCAGTGATAACAATCTCAATGCTCTGTCACTATTTTGCTACAACATCTTGCGTCTCCTAAATGAGACCTGAAATGCACTTCACGCCGCCTCTTCTGGCCAAACGTCTAAACTCAGACTTTGTTATTGTGAAGACAGGGTTTGGTTGAATATTATAGATTTCTGGACGTAATTAGAGAAACACTTCGCGAATCTTGCAGGTTTAGAACGTACTGACATGGTAAACTAATAATGCAAATTCCACCAAAATAACCCAGCAAGAATTAGCAGCAGGCTATGGATCATAATTTATGCAACGTACACGTTACAAAAATAACCTTTGTTTCTGTAATGAATATATTTCTCAGTTCCAGTTTGCTGGTTTTAGACTTTGAAAAAAAACAATGTGATTTAGATCGCCGACTTTTAAGAAGGTTTGCTTAATAGCTGATCTTGATTTGGAAAGTCACTTGTACATCTTTTTCAAGATACTTTTATATTAATGACCCCTTAGGTTTTCAGTGTAAGAACCAAAAAGTTGATGAAATACAGGTAATTTGGGATGAAATGTGATTCCTCCTCGGCCAAAAGTTTTTTCCGCAAATAAACGAGAACGTTTATTTGCGGGTGAAGTAAAACTAATGAACTATTCCAATAAAGGTTTCCTTTCTTTTACTCAGGGCATGTGGTCTTAGCTTCGTAGAAGGCTTTGGTTTTTGCAAATAAAAAAAAAAAATCCTTCGGATAAAAACAATAAATATTTGATGAAGGCCTTATTGACTTCAAGCTGCATAATGTGACAAATATTAATCACACACTTTCCTTATTCTACGTAACTACTTGTCAGATATCTATGTGAGAATGTCATCGTAGGCTGACAAAATAAATTGCACTTGAACTTTGTTTACTTAATATCTAATATCTCCGACCATATCCCCAAGCTATTACTAAGAGTTTTTTTTTTTGCACTGCTGTGTTTTCTTACGGTGAATACAATCTTAAGGTTTTTTCCTGATTCAGTGATTGGCAACTGAAAATATCTCAGCGGGGAAAACTGCAAGGCGGACGCGCAATTTGTAAATTGTGTTTTGTACACTTGGGGGATGGTCAAAAAGATAAAAATGTGGTTCCGCTTTGAATAATGGTGTTTACAAATAGGGCTTTTACGCTTTATTTCTTTGACTCCAAAGCAATTTGAGGTATGGACTGACACCTATTCAGTCGACCACACGCAAATGAATAATTTTAACGTTGCGCGGAAGGTTAGGCTAAACGATTCGAAACAGTTAGAGCACCCACAGCAGTACAGGAAGCATTGGGAGTACCAGTGACAGTTTCTCACGGTTTTGTCTTCTACTTTGGTGATTTTAGCCGAAATTAAAGATATCACGGCGCTGGTGAGTGGATATCATGTTGTTCAATCGTACTCTACTGCGTCCCAGTAGAACAGCAATGTTATGTAGGCGAAAAAAAAATTCGCGCAGCAACCATAGTAAATACGCTTCATCCCTTTCACTCAATAAATTATTTTTCATATTTGCTACTATATTTTGCGAAAGGACGCTTTAAAAGCATTATGTAAAATCGCCTAAATTTGCTTCGTCTAAGAAAACAAATCCCTTCAATTTTGTCTATGGGATTAAAAAAAAAAAAACAAGAAAACTTACTTCTGATCTTCCAAGTGGGATCTTTTCAGTTTCTGTTAATTTAAATTACAGTTGTCATTTTACAGAATTTCTTTAACGAATTTCAAAGAAAATTCAACATTTCCAAATACCACTTTTTAAACAGCTTTCAGAACTGCCTTCGTTTTAAATATCAATAGATAACAAACGATAAAGTACAACATGAAAGCATCGGGAAAAATAGGACTGCATGTAGGGTGCCATTAGCAATGCAGATATAATTCGGAATTCTAAGAGATATTTGGTAAGTTAAATAATTAAAAACATTTTAGATCTGCAGTTTTTTGTCACAATTTGTATATCTGATGTACTGGCCCACAAAGATAACATTTTTGTTTACCGTCCATATCAGGCAAGCCGAAAGTAGTCTTGATACGAGCAAATATTTCAAGTACATAGTTTTTGACAGATATAATTGAATTGAGAAATTACTATCACGTTATTTGCTCGTTGTTTTGACTGCTGTCGTGTTTTAACCGTTTCTATTCATTTAACTATGACAAGGAGAATAGCGGAAAGACAAAGGACTCAAAAGAAGTATGAAAAACATATATTAGTTTTGCTAATAGCTTTAGTGGCATTATTTCCTTACCCTCATTAAAGCAATCCTTAATTAGAAGTCGACTTTTTATATTCTTAGGTAATCGCTCCCCATTACTTGTGACATCCTAAAAAAAGACATCACATGTTTATTACATGTTCATCACAAAGCTTGGGGGAGTGTGAAAAATTATAAATTCAGATTTTACGAATTTTAGATTGATTTTCTAAGGAAACTCCTGTTTAGGTAAAAGTATATTATTATATGGTGTCATTATTCAGTGTTGATCAAGAAAAATTAAAACAAATTTCTTGTATGCAAAAACTACAAATTCAGATTTTACGAATTTCAGTTTGATTTTCTAAGGATGCATCTGTTTAGGAAAAAGTATATCATTAAACGGTGTCATTATTCAGTCTTGATCAAGAAAAAATAAGATATATTTCTTGCAATTCAATAATCTCCTCCCTTCGAACCTACCTACTAAAACCTATTTAGACAAATTACGTAGCTTTCACGACGTTGATCTGTTTAGCCTCAATACTCATCCGAACGATCAAATAAACCAGTCAAATAACTGTATTCGANAGGGAGATTACTTTCAAACTAATTGGTGTCACCCTCTTAAAATAAAGGTTATTATTATTATTATAATGACCTCGATCAATTCTATTTAAGCGGTAACATAGTCTCCGGTATAACCGACCATTTTTCTCAGTTCTGTATTTCACGTCACCCGACTAGTCGAGTTCTATCTACCTCTCCTAAAGTGCGAGACTATTCTAATATCTCACCTGAAAACTTCAATAATAAACTCTCTCAAATAAATTGGACCATCATCACTCTAGAAAATCGCCAAGACATAGATAAAATATTCTCAACGTATAACAATAAATTTAATAGACTGGTCAATAAACATGTACCCTTGAAAACGCTTTCTCGGCGCCGGACAAAACAACTCCCTAAACCATGGATCACAAGAGGCATTAAACGATCAATAAAAATAAAAAATAAACTGTTTTTGTCAGGCGATACAGAGAAATATAAATTATATAGAAATCATATACTAACATTAACTCGTCTAAGAAAAAAAAATGTACTTTCACGAGTACTTTGAGACTAACTTATCGAGTATTAGGAAGACTTGGGAAGGTATCAATAATCTGCTAAACAGAAGAAGAAATCGTTAATCCGTCAGCAAAAGTAAAAAACCTGATAATAGTGGTTTCACACAAGACCAATCCTAGATCGCCACTATTCTTAATGGTCATTTCACCTCTGTTGGACATTAGTTAGCCTCCAAGTTGCCTCAATCACCACACCATTTAGCTAATTATTATCGTCAAACTAGTTTTCTTAATTCTTTCTTTTGTGCTCCTGTAACCCCCTATGAAGTTCAACTCGAAATTCTGTCTATTCCGAACAACAAAGCACCTGGACTGTACTCGTGTCCAACTCGTATTTTAAAATCCTTTAGTAGTATTCTTTCTTTTCTTTAGCAAATATATTTAATACTTCATTTGAGCTTGGGAGTTATCCTACTAAACTTAAACATGCAAAGGTAATTCCAATATACAAAGATGGTGAGGAGACAGACCCTAATAGTTACCGGCCCATCTCACTTCTCTCAAACTTTAATAGAATCTTTGAAAGATTGAT